TACTATTCTTCTAGCAGAAAGAAACAACATTTATGGACAAATACAGATGTGTCTCCTGCTGATGACGCGGTGCAGATTAAAAAAACAAAACTATTTAAATTAGGTTCAAATGCAGAGTACGCACGTCACTGACCTTTGAACTGAGTAAAGTATTTACCATATTTTACTGCATCACAAAAGTACATTACAGTCATTACTTTTGTTAATCTGGATCAATACGTAAACACAGAGGAGACTTTTTACACAGAAAATAGTGAAAAAGAAAATGTATTATTTCATAGATGTTTCCAAAAGTGGTACTGCAGCCTCTCCCACTCTCCCTGACTCAGGTTGCCAGATATGCAGAAGAATCCAGCTGGGACCATAACAGCTGAATAGACAAGAGTTTTGTCAACAACAAATCTATAACACTCTCGCTTCCTAGCAACAAGGTCCTGGGTTTGAATCCCAGTTGGAACAGGGTCTTTCTGAGTGGAGTTTGCATGTTCTCCCTGTGTCTGCGTAGGTTTCCTCCAGGCGCTCCGGTTTCCGCTACCACTAAAAACATGTACAATAGGTCTGGTATGGCCATCTCTGTGTGGAGTGACAGAGGAAAAATGACCAACACAATTGTAAAGTGCTTTGTGACTATAGAAATAAAGATTACTTACGTACTTAGTTATCTCCGAGGACTTTACGGAGCGTTTGATTCGCCAACAACAGATCAGAAAATCAGCTCAAATGATATAAAAATGATGCTATGATATTAAAACACATAGAGTCATTGGTACATAAGGGGCAATGTTTATAAATGTGAATAAAGTCCATAAATGTGGTTGAATGTGGAGAGTCCTGGACCAGAGCGGACCGCCCTCTCTCAGCCAATCAGAGCGGACCGCCCTCTCTCAGCCAATCAGATCTCAGACCAAAGTGTGCGACATGACAGAATGTTATAGTTTGTTCACAGAGGAGTAAACTCTGCTGTGATCGATCTGCTGCGACGTAAGAATCATTTATGAAAGTGTCATGTGGAAGGAGTAGTAGTTATTGTAGTTGTAGTAGTAGTAGGAGTCGCAGTAGAAGTAGTAGTAGTAGTAGTAGTAGAAGTAGTAGTGGTGGTAGAAGTAGTAGTAAGAATATGAAGGGATTCTCTGTCAATAAAACCAGGCCAGAGTCAACCGTGAGGCATAGCTTTTTTCTCACTCGGTAACTCTGGGCTAGGAGAAAAAAAAATCACAAAAAAATAAATTAAATAAAAGTAAGAATTTATTTAAAAAAAACAATATAAACAGTGCAGATTAAAAATAAATAAATAAATAAAAATAAAACAGTTGCGGCATCTGTGGGTTTCTGTGTTACTGCAGCAGACCCGTGCTCCCGGACTCTGGACCCGAATCAGTCTGGACCCGAGTCCGAGTCTGGCTCCGAGTCCGAGTCTCTCTCCTCCCTCTCCACAGACACCGAACCTCCCTCAGTCCTTCCTCCGGACTCAGAAACAGGTCTTGGTGCAGACCGTCCTGTTCTGGGCCCACTCCTTCAGCTCGGTCTCCTCCCGATGACATCAAACCACAATGCATTGCACTGTTTGGAGTTTACCTCTAGTTGCCATGGCCACCGCGCGCACCCGCCCCTCTATTCTAATGAGAGCGGAAACGCGCGTCATTTTGGACCAATCTGTGCGCGCGCTGGTGACATAATGGAAATGTTCAACCCAAAAGTCTCAGAATCCAGTCCAGACGGAGCGCGAGAGACCGAGGGGAGAGACCCGAGGACCAGGATCCAGGACTGAGACCAGGATCCAGGAGCAAGAGTGAGGGAATATTGAGGAGAGACCCAAGACCAGGATCCAGGACTGATTGACCGAGGGGAAAGACCCGAGACCAGGATTGAGCGCGAGAGATCCGAGGAGTGACACCCAGGGAGCGCCATCCAGGACCGAGAGAGAACCGAGGACCAGGATCCAGAAGCAGGGTCCATGACAGAGGACCAAAGGAGGATCCAGGACTGAGACCAGAGCAGGATCCAGGACTGAGACCAGAGCAGGTAGGAGGCTGTCACTATAAACACGAACCATGGACTGTGGGTGTTTTCAGACTTTCGCTTTTAGTTTCTGATGCTGCTGAGGCTCATTCGTGTTTAAACTGTAAAACCATCTGTAGAATTTAAAGTAAAACCATCTGTTGTTTATTTGACTTGACGTCTGTGATTCTGCGGCGAAACAGGCGTGACGTCACAGACGTGATTCTGGATAGTCCGGTTTATGTGGTTATGGTTCATGGTTATGGTTTATGGTTATGGTTCATGGTTAGGGTTCATGGTTATGGTTCATGTGGTTTTACTGAAGCAGTTTAACAGTGAACTTGTTCTTGTGCCGCAGACCTCCAGCCACAGAGGCCGCGCAGATGCGCTGCTAAGCCGGACATGGAGCCCTTGTTCCCGGGTGCGTCTCAGCGGCTCTCGGTTTTGAAGAAGGACATTCCTGGAGGTTTGGACCCGGAGCAGACGCAGCTGAAGGCGGGCTCTGAGTCCTCAGAGCTCGGCCTCATGAAGCTCAGCTCCCCGGACATAGAGCGGCTGCTGGTGCAGACGCAGCCGCCCTTCCTGGGCCCAAAGCCCGCGGAGGCGGAGCAGGAGTTCGCGGAGGGGTTCGTCAAAGCTCTGGAGGATCTGCACAAACAGAACCAGCTGGAGGCCGTGCACGCGGAGCGGCTGGAGCTCATGCACGCGGATCTGCCCGTGTACACGACTCTCAATGGATACGGACACGCGCTCAGCTACACGGAGCACGCGCACTTTACCCCGCACGTGCACGCGCCTCCCAGCGCGCGCCTGAAGGACGAGCCGCAGACCGTACCTGACGCGCAGAGCTTCGGGGACAGTCCTCCTCTGTCTCCCATCGACATGGACAACCAGGAGCGCATCAAGGCCGAGCGCAAGAAGCTGCGCAACCGCATCGCGGCCTCCAAGTGCCGCAAGCGCAAACTGGAGCGCATCTCGCGGCTCGAGGACAAAGTGAAGGCGCTAAAAACACAGAACACTGAACTGGCGTCTACGGCCAGCGTCCTGCGGGAGCAGGTGGCACAGCTCAAGCAGAAGGTCATGAGTCACGTGAGCAGCGGCTGCCAGCTGCTGCCCAATCAGGTGCAGGCTTATTAGAGGCTCCATCCATAGTTCCATCCTCAGACTGGGGTCAGGAGTCAGGAGATAGGACTAAGGGCTACCTCCCATCAGCCTCCCAAGAGGTCTCAGGACTCAGGACTCAGGTCTCAGGACTCAGGACTCAGAGCCCTGAGGTCTGGAGCAGAGCAGCTGTGGGCCTCTGTAGGGAGGACCAGCCCCTGATGGACGAGCTGCTCCACATTCACAGTCTCTCTTTGGACAAATAGTTTCTTTATCGTTGTGGGAAAAAGCCAAGTTGTTGTTCAGAGCTGAGACTCTGTGAAGCCATATCTGAGACAAACCAAAAGTGCAGCCAAAGCCCTCGTGCCGAGTGTAAAAGCAACTGTTTACAAGCACTTAATATATCTTTATACTTTACATTGTTTTATTGATCTTTGCATGTTTCATATGTTGTTTATACCTTTGTATCCTTCTCTTCTAAAGCATATCTTTATGTTGTTATTGTTTATTAAATTATCTCCAAAGCTGCTCACATCTGATACTTCTCCTTTGTTTACGGTGGAGTTCACTTTCACATCTCCTCAGAGGCAGAACAGTCCAGAGCCATAGATGGTCACGGCTCCAGAGTAAGGGCGCCCTCTGCCGGACACTGGCGGTACTGCACTGCATGTATTTGGGACAAAGGTTACTCCTCCTCCTGGTTTGACAAGTTCTGAGTGTACTTAAGATAGTGGTGCTTTTCCAGGCCCTGCACTCTCTGTCTCTACAACATCAGGTTAAACTTTAGAGACGAGTCTGTGCATACAACAGTGAGGAGGCGGTGGCCATGTTGGAGAAAACACTTCAGATCTTTGTCAACATTGAAGTTTAAGTACTCTGTCTGCTTCATCCCTGACAGTACATTTATTGGACGATACATGAAAACTGACTCATCACGACTGGAGGCGACAAAAATGGATTCTATTTTAACATAGATTTAGCTAAAAACAATTAATATTTGAAGAAAATCGCTTAAGTAATTATTTTTTGGTCAAAATGTATCTTTGCCGAGGGTTTGACCTAACTTTATCGCTGCTTTCACTTGTCACTTACAAAGGGATAGTAGTGTAAGACATTAGTGATCATTCAGGCAACTTCAGCTCCATCACATCACATTTTCATATTCATTTCAAAGCTCTGAATCTCATTGAGTGTTTTGTGACCTATACACTGAGTTTAAAACATAGTAAGTCATATTTATTTATATAGCGCCTTTCTCAGACCAGAGTCAAAGCGGTTTACAGTCATGGGCACTTCTCTGACTCCACACAGAGATGGGAGCGGGGCCAGTACTGGAGGCGCAGACCTATTGTGCATGTTTTTAGTGGTAGGGGAAACCGGAGCACCTGGAGGAAACCTACAAAGACACGGGGAGAACATGCAAACTCCACGCAGAAAGGCCCTGTACCGACCGGAATTCAAGCCCAGGACCTTCTTGCTTCTTCCCGCTGCATGTACCAAGTGCCACCTTCCTCTGGTCTGTGCTTGGACCCACATGAACCAGTTGCCGTTGCACTGATGGTAGCAGCTACACAAACATAACTTAGTAAAATTTTATAATGTTAATGTTAGAGGTGTGACTATAAAGAGTGGGAATGTGTTTGTTGTGGTCCAAATCTTGATTTTAAAGCGTGTTGAGATGGGTGTAAAATGTTTATCACCTCCAGACTCGGCGTATCTGTTCTGCGCCGCTCTGGTCTCGCTCTCTGGTCTCTCTCTCTGGTCTCTCTCTCTGGTCTCTCTCTCTGGTCTCTCTCTCTGGTCTCTCTCTCTGGTCTCTCTCTCTGGTCTCTCTCTCTGGTCTCTCTCTCTGGTCTCTCTCTCTGGTCTCTCTCTCTGGTCTCTCTCTGGTCTCTCTCTCTGGTCTCTCTCTGGTCTCTCTGTTTGGTCTCTCTCTCTGGTCTCTCTCTCTGGTCTCTCTCTCTGGTCTCTCTCTCTGGTCTCTCTCTCTGGTCTCTCTCTCTGGTCTTTCTGACTGCATGTAGCTTTAAACAGTTATATCATTCTAGACCAGGGATCTCCAACCTGTAGCTCGCCAAAGCATTTAGAAATAAAAAAATATACTATTTCAGATTGTATTATTCATTATCATTCTTTTTGTAAATGCACAAACTTTGTCACTAATATGATAAATAATAACTACCAATATATCACCATTTTTATCCCCAGGGCCGCTTAAAGAAGTAGCTCTCTGCCTATATTGTCCCGGGAAAGTAGCTCTCTGGGTGAAAACGTTTGTAGACGCCTGTTCTAGACACCGTTTTAGACTCACAGAAAAACCAGTGAAGTTTTTAGTTCACTTGTTAGTTTTATTCTTTGATATAATCCTCTTTTAATCAAATCACAGCACGATTCACACATGTTCAAACTAACCCCAGTCGGGCAAAACAATCCATATTTACACAGAATTGGACGGACGCTAGCAGTTTTACAGCTGTAGCAAAAACAAAAAGAAGCAATAAATAAATAATAAAAACAGATAAAAATGACAAACGGTTAAAAGCAAACGAGCTCAGAAGTGTTAGCGTTCCCCTCGGCTGATCTTTGGTCTCTGGAGAGAGGGGACGCTGGGATATTGCTTCGGAACAGAACAGTCTGCGATATCAAAAGGCAAAGCAGCTAGCTAGCGATAAAAGCAGCTATGTGCCCTGTGATCGGGGAAGAACGCTGCCAAAACCAGAGCATGAATAATGAATACTTGGATAACGCTCGGGTTCTTCTGTGTTTTTGCTGCAAATGGTAGAAACTGAATCCCATACGAGAAAGATAAAAGTAGGAGATTCTTTCACTTATAGAGCGCGACAAGCTAGGAAGCAGGATTACAGCTTGATGCAAATCATGGACCGTTTGAGACGTTCTTCGTAAACAAGAGATGTGTTTTTAGCTCAATTCCTAATGCAGAATGTAACTGGTTGATTTGCTTGAAAAGGGCCGAGAATATTTCACAGATTTAAATACATTTCTGACCATCCATCCATTATCGAGGCTTTATCCAGAGCCAGGAAGTCAAAGCAGTGAGGCCCAAATGTATCGACCAAGTTTAGGGAAAGACCTGTCACGATCTGGTCCCACTTCTGGTTCAGGTTCAAGGTCTTGGATTTAAAACGTGCCGGTATTCTTCTCCACATCAAGAGCCCTCTCTGGGTCGGCCTCTCCCTCCCTCTCTCTGGCCCCTCTCTCTCTCTCTCTCTCTCTCTGGCCCCTCTCTCTCTCTGGCCCCTCTCTCTCTCTCTCTCTCTGCCCCTCTCTCTCTCTGCCCCCCCTCTCTCTGGCCTCCCTCTCTCTCTGGCCCCTCTCTCTCTCTCTGAAGCCTTACTGCCTCTTCAACTCGACATTGAACAAAGTGGAAGAAGATGGATGGATTGCTTGTCACTCGAGCTGCTTCACACATTCCCAACAAGTTAAAAGAACCTTGAAATTCAAAACATTTTGGGTCTAAACTTGTCCAAAACTATTGAAATGTTGCTTAGATTGTGAGTAGCTTTGATGCCAGACCAGCAGAGCGTGGACCTCCCTGGTTGTTCCATGAGGAGATGGACATTTACACATGATCACACACAGTCACAGGTCAATATAAATACATCTGTTCAAATAAATATGTTTAACTCTGGGATGAGACGTCCTGTGTCCAACCTCACTGCAGTCCGAGCGAGACAGGACCTCATCCGACTGATATTATTATTATTATCAAAATACACGTTTCAATGACAACTCCACGGGTCTCCAGCCTGTTCCCCGGGAGAGTACGAGACAACACTGGAATTTCCCCAACTGTGGGACGATCATAAAGGATCCCTCTCTTTCACGCGGTTCACACAAAGTTGCGCATAAGTGTTTTTTTTTTTATCTTGATTTGACACATTTTACTGTTAAAACTATGGAACGACCAGCTTTAGGCGGCGTTTCCATGGAGACGCCGCAACGGTAAAACGTTAAGAGTTTATATCGGCTCAGATGGTAGAGCATTGGTCTTTGAGCCTGAAGGTCGTGGGTTCAATCCCCCCAAAAGACCTACTCCAACTGTTCCCACTCATGTCTGCTGTGGTTGTGTCCTTGGGCAAGACACTAACCCGTTGAAGGTGGATCAGTGACGGACTGGTGCTATGAGCATTGGTCCCGCCCCCCTGGACCCAGAAATGGACTAATAAAGGGGTAGAAAATGAATGAATGGTCTTTCTTTTCCATGACGACCGTTTCAGGTGAAAACGTTGAGAAACAGCCTCCAGAGTGGACCAGAACAGAGACCGTATCTGTATCCACCGCCGGCATCCATCCGGCTTCTTCCCCTCAATCCATTTCTGGGTCGAGGGAGGGGTGGCAGTCACATGCACCCAGTCCACAGAGCACCAGCCCCTCACTGATCCTCCTGCAGGTGCCGAGTCCACGGGAGCCTTGATCTTTCAGCGGGGGCTTCAGGCGAAGTGGGGTTAAGTGTCTTGCCCAAGGACATCAGTGGGAGTCTTATTTGCAGATATATATTGAGAGAGAGAGAGAGACTTTATTGATCCCTGGAGGAGAAAGGAGACACTCTTGGGTTATTTTGTTGTTGTTTAGTGTTATAACCATACAAATAATCTGTCAATCATTCAGATATTTAGGGAACTGAGCTTTAGAGGCTGGAGACCCGAAGTTCACTCTAGTTTCAAAGCTTCGGAATGCTCTTCAGTCACTGACAATAAGCGTAACATACGAGAATGGGACGAGGGTTTTCCAAACGGCTCGGTTTGGTCTGGTCCGAGTCTTTCCGAGTAGAATGACAAAGCACGACACACAACGGGACACGACAGCGATGACCCAGTCCCTCTGCGTCTGGTTTTACCTGTGAGGAAACTAAACCGGAGCCAGGTCCAGGGTTCAGAGGTGACATCGGGAATGAGGAGAGACCGAGAGTGACCAGAGAGACCAGAGAGACCAGAGAGACCAGAGAGACAAGAGAGACAAGAGAGACAAGAGAGACAAGAGAGACAAGAGAGACAAGAGAGACAAGAGAGACAAGAGAGACCAGAGAGACCAGAGAGAGACCAGAGAGACCAGAGAGAGACCAGAGAGAGACCAGAGAGAGACCAGAGAGAGACCAGAGAGTGACCAGAGAGTGACCAGAGAGACCAGAGAGAGACCAGAGAGACCAGAGAGAGACCAGAGAGACCAGAGAGAGACCAGAGAGAGACCAGAGAGACCAGAGAGAGACCAGAGAGAGACAAGAGGGACCAGAGAGACCAGAGAGACCAGAGAGAGACCAGAGAGACCAGAGAGACCAGAGAGAGACCAGAGAGACCAGAGAGAGACCAGAGAGACCAGAGAGACCAGAGAGACCAGAGAGACAGTCCAAACAGGGAGGTCCTTTGACGAGTGGACCCCGGACTGAAGAGGAAGAAGAAGCAGCTTGTGGCAGTGTATCTCTGTGTGTGTGTGTGTGTCTGTGCGCATGTGTGTGTGTGTATGTCTGTGTGTGTGTGGAGGGGGAGGGGCCTGCGCTGGAGAGAAACATCCAAACACAACCAATCAATCTATATCTGCTTCTTTACCTTCAAAAACTGTACAAACTAGTAGAAAAATGCAGTAGAGGAAAAAATTGTGACATAAAATAATGACTTTTTCATTTTAGTGTTTTCTCGAAAGTTTTCTCTGGTTTCTGCTCCTTTAAGACGTCTTATTGTATTTGAAGAGCTGGGAGATCTATAATAATATCTGGATAGTGTATTACTAGCTTATAGCTGTACCACCCATGGCCACAGGGGGCGCTGTGGTACTGCAGACTAAAGTCACGTTACCCAGAAAAATGTCCCATGGATCTCAATGTGAACTAAAACAGCTCGACAGAGAACCTACAGCTTTCATAAAGGTCCGATTCTGTGAAGATTTTAGTGTCCCTGAACTTTTTTTCTTGTTAAATCCATCAGTTTTCTATAAATTCACACTTTAGTCCAACAAAATTTGCTTGTTCTCCTCTCGCTATCATTACATCTGTCCCTCATTATCGAACCCCGTTTATGACTCTACCTCCACTGTACAATTTTTGACATTGTCGCAAATTATTGTCAATCTTTTAAGCCTTTTTTAGCTTGTTTTATGCATGTACTTGTCTGGTGCACACTGGGGGACTCTTGCACAGTTACTCCAATGGGGTTTTACTGCAAATGGCAAACAAACTGACTCTGAATCTACATTTTAGACCAATAGCTCTATGTGTTTTTGGAGCGAGTCTCGTCCAGCGCAGACCATGGACCCGGGGACGGTGTAGTAGTGTGAGAGTTGAGCCTTGGTCCTGGTCTTGGTCCTGGGTCTAACAGGCACAGTCCTGGCTGGACCTCTGCGGCTGCTCGCTGAGCTGGGGCCCCTGCTTGGCCCCCGTCACCGTGGGGTCGTTGTTGTCCAGGTTCTCGGACATTCTCTCACAGATGATGTCGACCAGACGCTCAAACGCCTGCTTCACGTTGATGTTGTCCTTCGCACTGGCCTCGAAATACTCGAAACCTGCGCCGGAGACACACATCATCAACATGTGACATCACCAGGCAGACATGCTAGAGCCAACATGAAGAAGTTAAGATCTTTATTGTCCCCACAGGGAAATTTGACCCATTCTTCACTGCTGCAGGGCCTCAGTCAGGAGCTATTGTACATGTTTTAAGTGAGAGGGGAAACTGGAGCACCTGGAGGAAACCTACCCCCTCCCCCGCTACCTGTGCTCTTGTTAGCTTCGGAGCTAGCGTCTCACAATATGGCACTTTTGCACGTGGATGGCGTGACCATAGAATGACAGAACCGGGAAGCGTGGAGAAGACGAGGCTTTCTTTCGGATGTTTCGCTGAGTAAGCAGTGACGAAGACGTTACTGCTGAAGTTTCAGGTTAGCCTCCGCTGCTTGTTGTGCTAACTCAGCTGTCTGTGCTAACCAGAGACCTGTGGCTTTTCTCAAGAAAGTGGGGGCCAGTGGTCCGCTGTGATTGGTCACAATCTGAGACCCGAAACACAGTCTCTTCCTTGTTTCACCAAAACTCGATCTAAAATATAATGTCACGCTAGCACAAACCTGCGCTACTTATTCTTCAAAAGGACGTTTATCCCACTGCACTGCACGGGCATGGATTGCATTTTTGTAATGAATACAAAAATAAAGTCAGTTAGTGCAGCTTAAGCCAAAGAAAATCCTAGTTTGTGACTTCCTGTTACTTACAATGACAATAATAAAAATGAATAAAAAAAGGCAGGTTGCCTAGGTAACACATTCTGTAGTTGTAATTGTAGTACAGTGAGTGTGACCCAGCTGGTGTGAGTGTGAGACTGACCCAGCTGGTGTGAGTGTGAGACTGACCCAGCTGGTGTGAGTGTGAGACTGACCCAGCTGGTCTGAGAGCTGCCGTCCTCTCTCCGCTGCCACCACGCGCTCCTCTTCCATGTCACACTTGTTTCCAACCAACAAAACCTGAGCATTGTCCCAAGAATAAGTCTTTATCTGAGTCGACCTGAGGAGAGACATCAAGTTTGTTAGAGTCAGTCTCAGGCTGCGGTCACATGCACAGCCTAAAGCCAGGTTTAAGTGTGCCTGGGCCCACTTTGTGATTAGATCCGGGCTTTAGGTGCTATGTGGGCTTGGGCACGGTTGTAAAGCCCAGAAGAGGGGGGTCAATGTGGGGAGTGGGGGATGAGGTGTGGTGGGGACTTGATATCGTGCGTCACATTAAGTCTTCCTGCTGCGCCCGTTGTGACAGTCTATGGTTGTGATGCGCATTTTCACACACGTCTCTACAGCAGTCGCACACTTTTGTATTCTCCGCTTTTGTTAAACCTTTCATATAAGCCCCCGGGCCGTGGTCGAGGGGGCGCAGGGGGGTGTGTCGCTCCAGAGCCAAAGGGAAGCGTTTCCTAAGTGGAAAACTCCCTCCTGTCCCTCACTCTCTCAGTGTGGTGCTTTTGCAACAAAACTTCAGACATTCAACAAATCAGTCTTAATTTAATTGCCAGAAAACACAGTCTCCGGCCGCTCCAACCGTACGCAACACTTTTCATTCTTCTTACTCCAAAGCGCGCTCCTGCGTCCACTCGCACGCACACGCGCGTCCACTCGCACGCACACGCGCGTCCACTCGCACGCACATCCACTCGCACGCACACGCGCGTCCACTCGCACGCACACGCGCGTCCACTCGCACGCACACGCGCGTCCACTCGCACGCACACGCGCGTCCACTCGCACGCACACGCGCGTCCACTCGCACGCACACGCGCGTCCACTCGCACGCACACGCGCGTCCACTCGCACGCACACGCGCGTCCACTCGCACGCGCGTCCACCTCGCAACGCACGTCCACTCGCACGCACACGCGCGTCCACTCGCACGCACATCCACTCGCACGCACATCCACTCGCACGCACACGCACGTCCACTCGCACGCACACGCACATCCACTCGCACGCACACGCGCGTCCACTCGCACGCACACGCGCGTCCACTCGCACGCACACGCGCGTCCACTCGCACGCACACGCGCGTCCACTCGCACGCACACGCGCGTCCACTCGCACGCACACGCGCGTCCACTCGCACGCACACGCGCGTCCACTCGCACGCACACGCGCGTCCACTCGCACGCGCTCCACTCGCACGCACGTCCACTCGCACGCCACACGCGCGTCCACTCGCACGCACATCCACTCGCACGCACATCCACTCGCACGCACACGCACGTCCACTCGCACGCACACGCACGTCCACTCGCACGCACACGCGCGTCCACTCGCACGCACACGCGCGTCCACTCGCACGCACACGCGCGTCCACTCGCACGCACACGCGCGTCCACTCGCACGCACACGCGCGTCCACTCGCACGCACACGCGCGTCCACTCACACGCACATCCACTCGCACGTCCACTCGCACGCACACGCGCCGTCCACTCGCACGCACACGCGCGTCCACTCGCACGCACACGCGCGTCCACTCGCACGCACACGCGCGTCCACTCGCACGCACACGCGCGTCCACTCGCACGCACACGCGCGTCCACTCGCACGCACACGCGCGTCCACTCGCACGCACACGCGCGTCCACTCGCACGCACACGCGCGTCCACTCGCACGCACACGCGCGTCCACTCGCACGCACACGCGCGTCCACTCGCACGCACACGCGCGTCCACTCGCACGCACACGCGCGTCCACTCGCACGCACACGCGCGTCCACTCGCACGCACACGCGCGTCCACTCGCACGCGCACGCGCGTCCACTCGCACGCGCACGCGCGTCCCATTCAACTGCTGCACTTTAGGAAAGACTCGCGTGACACTTTTTCACATTGCTCTGATACAAACAACACGTTCCGTGCTCGAGCTGTTAGCTACAGTAGCAGAGCGTAAACAAGAAGAGAAACGGAAACTTAACATGGACAAGGAGGTTGTCGCTGGAGTTAGTATTAGCGCCACCTGCTGGACCGAGCGTTGTACTACAGCACAGTTACTCTGGCACGTTTGAGAGAATAAACCCTTGTGACCGCGGGCTGTTTTCACACTCCTCCTGTGGCGACAATCCACTTGGCCCAGTTCGCTTGTAAAAACCTATGTGACCGTGCCCTCAGTCTCTCTCCCCCTCAGTCTCTCTCCCCCTCAGTCTCTCCCCCTCAGTCTCTCTCCCCCTCAGTCTCTCTCCCCCTCAGTCTCTCTCCCCCTCAGTCTCTCTCCCCCTCAGTCTCTCTCCCCCTCAGTCTCTCTCCCCCTCAGTCTCTCTCCCCCTCAGTCTCTCCCTCTCAGTCTCTCCCTCTCAGTCTCTCCCTCTCAGTCTCTCCCTCTCAGTCTCTCCCTCTCAGTCTCTCCCTCTCAGTCTCTCCCTCTCAGTCTCTCCCTCTCAGTCTCTCTCTCTCAGTCTCTCTCTCAGTCTCAGTCTCTCTCTCAGTCTCTCTCTCAGTCTCTCTCTCAGTCTCTCCCTCTCAGTCTCTCTCTCAGTCTCTCTCTCAGTCTCTCTCTCAGTCTCTCTCTCAGTCTCTCTCTCAGTCTCTCCCTCTCAGTCTCTCCCTCTCAGTCTCTCCCTCTCAGTCTCTCCCTCTCAGTCTCTCCCTCTCAGTCTCTCCCTCTCAGTCTCTCCCTCTCAGTCTCTCCCTCTCAGTCTCTCCCTCTCAGTCTCTCCTCTCGTCCTCTCAGTCTCTCCCTCTCAGTCTCTCCCTCTCAGTCTCTCCCTCTCAGTCTCTCCCTCTCAGTCTCTCCCTCTCAGTCTCTCCCTCTCAGTCTCTCCCTCTCAGTCTCTCAGTCTCTCTCTCTCTCTCAGTCTCTCTCAGTCTCTCTCTCTCTCAGTCTCACCAGTCCTGGACGGCGGTGAAGGAGTCCTCGTTGGTGATGTCGTACATGAGGATGAAGCCCATAGCTCCTCTGTAGTACGCTGTGGTGATGGTCCTGTAACGCTCCTGTCCTGCCGTGTCCTGAAAACACACACAAACACACGTCACACACACACGTGTCACACAGCGCCCCCTGCTGCTCAAGGGAAGACACTGACACAGGAAGTTCAGTCCCTTCACCTGTAGTTAAGTTTGTTCCTTTCCTCCTTTTGGGTCTAAGGACAGTGATGATCCAGGACATTGGTCTCTGTGTGTTTTTATATCATTGCTTTTCCTCAGTTGTAACTGTTTGATTCAACTTTGTAAAGTCCTCAAAGATAACTATTGTTGTGATTTAGGGCTGTATAAAAACGATTCTCTAAATTATCTTCTGTCGGTCTCCCTGTCTCCGTCTCTGTCTCCCTCTCCCTCCCCCTCTCCCCCGTCTCTTCCCTCTCTCAGTACCGGCCATAGTCCCGTCATAAAAATTACAAATGTGAAGTTTGTGGAATATAAAAACAAAAGCCTGTTCTCATGTGTGTCTCATTATCGTGCCTCAGAAAAGGTCAGTCAGGGGCCTCTGTGTGTTTAATCCTGATGTGGCCCCTCCCTCACCGCACAGACACTGAGGGTGTTCTCATTAGGAATGACGTGGATGTTTGAGACATCACAAGGACCTGATGAGAAGGTCTTTCGTCAGTTCCATGAAGTTCTGGAATAAACTTAAGCCTCATGTCAGTAACTCTTCTGGCCCCTGGAAAAGCCATGTTCCAGCTTCTTCCCTCTATTTGCTGAGCTACACTTTATAATGATCTTCACTTGTATTGAAGCAGTTTTTGTTGATTAGTTTCACAGTGAGGATTGTTTTCATTCTTTTTAAGCTTGTTGTATTCCTGTCCTTGTCTGATGCACGCTGGGGACTGGTTTTATTGCAAACGGCAAATAAGCTGAATCTAGGATTGTTTTTGTCTATATATAGAGTTATGATATCAAGTAGTAAGTGTTGCTTGTCAAGAACTGCGTCTGCGTCGCTCTCTCTATAAAGTTATGATAATATTATTGAAGGGTGTAGTGCTGCCCGTTGTCACTGACCCAGATCTGCAGCTTGATCCTCTTGTCGTTGCGATAGATGGTTTTGACCTTAAAGTCGATGCCGACGGTGGAGACGAAGGCCGGAGTGAAGGAGTCGTCCGCGTACCGGAACAAGAAGGAGGTCTTCCCCACGCTGCTGTTGCCGATGATCAGGATCTTAAACATGTAGTCAAAGTTCTGGTCCGAGGACTCTTTTTGACCGTAGGTGGCATTGGCCGACGCCATCTGAGCAGACACAGGTACAGGGTCAGTGTCAAGTGCAGTCACAGCTGCCCTGGGGTTGAATGAGGGAGGCGAGGCTGCCCTCTGTGTCAGTTAAACACACACACATTTTAACAGTTTAACCTTATATGATACAATTGTAGATATCCTCATTAAATCTGGAAAGCTTTTATGTAATAGAAAGAAGAAAAATCATAGAGGTAAACCTGGGTGGAACATGTTTGTTGAGGAACCACATGCTGAGGCTAGGAGGGCTTTCAAGGCCTGGCATGAAGGTGGAAAACCAAGATCTGACCCTGTTTTTGAATATAAAAAACGGGCAAATGCCAACTATAAATATGCCCTCAGATATATTAAACGTAATGAAAACACATTAAGGGCTGATTCTTTAGTGTCAAAGCTGCAAAATAATAAGTATACTGACTTCTGGAAAGAGGTTGGTAAGATAAATAAATCTAAAACCTCCCTGCCCAATAATATTGATGGTGTAAGTGGACCTTATAATATATGCCAGCACTGGAAGAATTATTACAATAATCTGTTCAATTGCGTTGAGAGCAATATAAATACAAATGTCACAAAACCTGTTGGAAATGATAGTCACCCCTCAAGAAGTGTATGAAGCTATTTTCAAACTGAAAAACAACAAGTCCAGTGGTTTAGATAAAGTGACTTCTGAACATGCAAAGTTTGCCAGCTCACGGCTATATCCTCTCTTAGCCCTCTGCTTCACTGGGTTTCTGGTTCATGGCCTTTTGCCTCAGTCACTTTTGTCCATTATATTGATCCCTATAATCAAAAATAAGACTGGTAAACTCAGTGACAGTAACAACTACCGCCCAATTGCTTTAGCAAGCTCTGTGTCTAAGGTTTTGGAGATTATTCTTTTAACCCGACTCCAGCTATATTTGTACACCACTGCTAACCAGTTTGGCTTCAAGCCTGCACATGGTACTGACCTGTGCATCTATGCCCTCAAAGAGATGCTGGGCAAATATAACTCTCAGGGATCAACTATGTTCATGTGTTTTCTGGACGCATCTAAAGCATTTGATCGAGTCAACCATGGAACATTGTTCCAAAAATTATTAGATCGAGGTGTTCCAGACTTCCTCATAAGGATACTTGCATTCTGGTACTCCTGCCGGTCCATGCAGGTCAGATGGGGCGATTCCACTTCTGACCCATTCAGGGTTAGCAATGGGGTGCGTCAGGGTGGAATTTTGTCTCCTCTTCTATTTAATGTCTATATTGATGACATGTCTCTGCAGCTAAATCAGTGTAAAACTGGATGCATGGTTGGCAGTCACCTGTGTAACCATTTAATGTATGCAGATGACCTTGTAGTGTTGTGTCCTTACAGTGCAGGTCTACAGCAGCTGTTAAATATCTGCTCCCGATATGGCATAGAGCATGACATCAAGTATAATGCCTCTAAAAGTCAAATCATGATTGTAAAAACAAAGGAGGATAAAAAATTAGTGTTCCCTGATTTCCTTCTATGTGGTGATATTCTCCAACCCACAGAGGAGGTAAAGTATCTTGGACACTACATAACCTCTGACCTCTCTGACGACAGAGACATGTATCGACAGCAGTGTAAACTTTATGGCCAGGCTAATATGCTCGTTCGGAAGTTTCACATGTGCTCTAGAGATGTTAAAGTTAATCTTTTCAAGGCGTTTTGCTCACCCTTGTATACTGCACAGCTCTGGTGTAGATATAAGAAAAAGAGTATGCGGAGTCTAAATGTGGCTCACAATGACTCTCTGAGGATTCTGTTGAAAGTGCCCAGGTTTTGTAGCGCCAGTGAAATGTTTGTAAATTGTGGTGCGAGGTCATGTGTTGTCTCCATCAGATATTGTATTTACTCTTTTATGTGCAGAGCCGTGAATCTGTCAAACCAGATCATCCAAGCTCTGGTCTGTCCAAGGAGGAGCTCTGTAAGGTTTTCCTCTGACCTATGGAGGCATTGGAGGTCCTGTCTGTACACCTGTTTATAATTTTACTGTATACATATTTTTTTTTTTTTGTCTCTTTATGATTATTATTATTATTATTTTTTGTTTTTGTTTTTTTAATCTATGAACCAGTTCTATCTGTGTTCTTAATAAAGAATGAATTGAATTGAATTGAAATAACAGTGAGTTTGAACTGAGGGTGATATTATGAACAACTCTCACACATGAATCCAGGGTCAATGCTTTCTGTAAAAGTAGATCTTGGTTTGATCAAGTGTGAGCCCCTGTTCTACACACTGCAAATAGAGCCACCGAACCGCAGCCTTCTTACCCACCGCTGTCAGACTGTACAACAAGTCACTAAACCTGCACTAGGACTGAATTTTTTTTTTATTGTAGTTATATTTTTATTGTTGCACACTTCTGTCTTTTTGCACAACCTGAGTGACGCAATGTTCTTTGTGAGCTCAATAAAGTTTATTTTATAGTAGAAAGCCATAACAAAAGCAAAGATTGGGAGAAAAGCCAAATACTGTCTTTTTGCAAGTGATTGGATTAACATAATCTTTTAGCTTCATCCAATCCCTTCTCAATTTATATCAAGGGAAATTGTTGCTAACATGCATAAGAGGGAAACAAACAAACAAATATTTGCCTGAGAAGGAAGAAAACCTTTTGAATCCAACCCCCATAATACATATTAAACAAAAACTAGCTTGACTTTAAAAAATGATCAGATGCAATTAATCAAGATTAAATAATTGAATAGTTTGACAGCACTAAAGACACAGCTGTAGTTTAGCACGATCAGCCTCAGTCACTACACTGATGTCACCACGTTCTCCCATCTCGGCACTAACCAGGCTTGCTCTGCTTAGCTTCTGATCCTTGGTGAGCTCAGGCTTTAAGAAGCAGAAGTAGGATGTAAGAGAGAATAGAATACTTTAAACCTCTGTTCATAAACAATCCTTCACATTTGTGTTTGTTTTCCTCCAGTCTCCGCTTCTCTCGGACCCACTCACGATAATTGACTCAAGGTTCATAAATCCTCATTAATCTGGATGATAATCAGAGACGAGACTACAGACCCTGGATTCTGGATCTACAAGACCCTGAAGGAGCAGATCCTGACATCAGCGACGCAGAGAGAGGACCGAACATAAACAAACTCACAGCTGAGGACTTTCCAATCCTCACTACAGTCATTTTAAACTGCCACAAGTTCTGTCAGTGTCAGTAGCTGCGTTTCCATTGAGCATCAAATTTCGAAATTTGAATTTGCGCATCATAAAATGTCTAATGGAAACGCGCAAATTTCGAATAAACCACAGTTTTTCGATAAAAAGTTAATGCGCTTAAAATCGGTGGTTTTTTGGACGTATCGAAATTAAGTTTTTCGCAAAACGGCGGCAATGGAAACACTTATTTCGATATAGCGGAGGAAGCCGAGCTGCTTTATTCAGTGAGTTTTGGCTGCGCTTCGTGTGGAGACTTGGGAGATACGTGGGAGAGGCATGGGGGAGAGACGGGGGAGAGACGGGGGAGAGGCATGGGGGAGAGACGGGGAAGAGACGGGGGAGAGGCATGGGGGAGAGACGGGGAAGAGACGGGGGAGAGGCATGGGGGAGAGACGGGGGAGAGGCATGGGGGAGAGACGGGGGAGAGGCATGGGGGAGAGACGGGGGAGAGGCATGGGGGAGAGACGGGGGAGAGGCATGGGGGAGAGACGGGGGAGAGGCATGGGGGAGAGACGGGGGAGACAGGCAAGACCCGTGTCTATGGTTCTGTGCGCGCGTCTATGGTCCGCGCTCGGTACATGACCACGGCGTTCGCGGAGCTGTCAAAGCAGCCACAGTTTCTCCCGGGGTCAGAGGTCAGAGAGGATGAGAGCCGCAGCAGAAGTCAAGACATTAATATATCTCACGTAAATCAAAGTGTTGTTTACTTCTGTTGCCATGTTGACGTACTAGAAACTAGTGAATAAACGCGCGAAAATAGTGTATACTTATTCGAATATGTCTTAATGGAAACGGCCGCTTTTATGAATTACAGGTTTTTCGAATTTTGAAATGTATCAAAAAAGTTTTTGCGCATTATTCAATGGAAACGCAGCTAGTGTAGAAAAGCTGCAGATGTGAGAGTGCGGCTGAAGCGGAGTCAGTCTCTGGGCGTGGTGTGAACGAGGCTAACCCCGAGTCTCTGCTTCTCCACTGCACCAGACTCTCAGACAATTACAAACTCTCCATGGCCTCGCACCAAAGTACATCCGAGACATATTAGTGCCATATTAACCAACTCTGAGAAGCACAGGGGATTTGTATGCACTGCGCTACACTAATAAACTTGCCGTAATGAAGTGAGTGAATATGAAGGGAAGAGGATCTGTAGGAAAGAGGTAAACAACGCCATGTATAATTCAGTATGAGGACTTCAACAGGTAATTATACTTTACTCGGAGCCATGTTGAAACTGATAAAAGGTATTTGGTTCCTTTACACCAGACAATAGTAAGTTAGCGATGTTACTTCCTCGACATATTTCAACGCTACATTTCCGTCTTCCTCAGAAACTATTGTCTATTATTACGGCTATTGTCTGGTATAGAAGAGCCAAACACCTTTATATCTACTAAGAAGACAAAATGAGCTTCCAAAATATATTTAAACTTGGCCTTATCTTTCGCACTCTCCTCTCCCATTCCTTAAGCCCGTGTGGTTGAAGCCTTGTCTACGGTTTCACGCTGATCCACACACTCCCTGACTGCTCTGTAGTTGAAGCTGGAGATGCCGTTCCCTTCACATTAGGCCTAAAGGCTTGTGTCAAAAACACGACCAGCCTGTTCTGTGTCACCTCAGACAGGGAGAGGCGCAGGGAGACCGGATCAGGGGACGGAAGTGCTGGGGCTTATAGGGCCGTTAAGCGTCAGGTGAAATGCCTCCCCTCCTCCTGGGTGCACCCACAGGACCAGCAGAGGAAGGAGACGCAGAGACACAGGACGTGAACGGTTTCAAACAGAAAAGAAAGAATGTCACACGTCCACATTCTGTTCCAACTATTGTGGTGAGAGAGAGAGAGAGAGACAGAGAGAGAGAGAGAGACAGAGAGACAGACAGACGGAGAGGGAGAGAGAGAGAGAGAGAGACAGAAACAGACGGAGAGCGAGACAGAGAGAGAGAGAGAGAGAGAGAGAGGGAGACAGAGACAGAGAGAGACAGAGAGAGGGAGAGACAGAGACAGACGGAGAGCGAGACAGAGAAACAGAGAGAGAGAGAGAGACAGAGACAGAGAGAGAGAGACAGGGAGAGAGACAGAGAGAGAGACAGAGAGAGAGACAGACAGAGACAGAGAGACAGAGAGAGAGGGAGACAGAGAGAGACAGAGAGAGAGAGAGACAGAGAGAGGGAGAGACAGACGGAGAGCGAGACAGAAACAGAGAGAGAGAGAGACAGAGAGAGAGACAGAGACAGAGACAGAGAGAGAGACAGGGAGAGAGACAGAGAGAGAGACAGACAGAGAGAGAGAGAGAGACAGGGAGAGAGACAGAGAGACAGAGACAGACAGAGAGAGAGAGACAGAGAGAGAGAGACAGGGAGAGACAGAGAGAGAGAGAGAGAGAGAGAGACAGGGAGAGAGAGACAGAGAGACAGGGAGAGAGAGACAGAGAGAGAGAGACAGGGAGAGACACAGAGAGAGAGAGACTTCTGGATAAAACAGATCTCTGGATTCTAAAACAGTTAAAGTCCAATAGGAGGTGGTGTCAGATCAAAGAGGACAGAGGTTCAGAGATGACTCTTGTGTTTCTCATGATCTTTGATGCGTCACATTCACTTCATATTCACCTGTTTCTGTAAAGCCCTGAACCTGAGCAAAGCTGTCGATTCCACAACAACAGATCAGAGAATCAAGTTACAAAATGCATTTATAGAAACATACAGAGACCAATGCCCAAGATTCTTAAGAAATGTCTGTAAAAACGCGTCCAACTTAAAACTAGAAATAATTCTTTTACACAGGGAGAATATGCAAACTCCACACAAAAAGGCCTGGAGGTGGAAATGAACCCAGGACTCAAAAGAAGTGAGTATTCAAGAGGTTTAAATGAGGATTTCGCCAAATGTTAGGAAAGAACCGCCCTCTCTGGTCTTATTGGACGAGCACGTGTCACCAGAATGATTGACAAGTGGGAGGACCAATAGTCTTGATGGTCCAAAGAAAAATGTATTTGCAGTTTTGTTTGGAAGAAATAAAAGATGACAGCCACATGTCTACAATGTTTTTACAGAGAGAAGCAGCGGGAAAACCAGAAATATGACTCCTGGTGTCGTTTGTGTTGCTGGTATCATTAGTGTTGCTGGTATCATTAGTGTTATTAGTGTCGCTGGTATCATTAGTGTCGCTGGTATCATTAGTGTTATTAGTGTCGCTGGTATCATTAGTGTTGCTGGTATCATTAGTGTTATTAGTGTCGCTGGTATCATTAGTGTTGCTGGTATCATTAGTGTCGCTGGTATCATTAGTGTTATTAGTGTCGCTGGTATCATTAGTGTTATTAGTGTGGCTGGTATCATTAGTGTCGCTGGTATCATTAGTGTTATTAGTGTCGCTGGTATCATTAGTGTTATTAGTGTCGCTGGTATCATTAGTGTTATTAGTGTCGCTGGTATCATAGGGGTTGTTAGTGTCGCTGGTATCATTAGTGTTGCTGGTATCATAGGGGTTGTTAGTGTCGCTGGTATCATTAGTGTTGCTGGTATCATAGGGGTTGTTAGTGTCGCTGGTATCATTAGTGTTGCTGGTATCATAGGGGTTGTTAGTGTTGCTGGTATCATTAGTGTTGCTGGTATCATAGGGGTTGTTAGTGTTGCTGGTATCATTAGTGTTGCTGGTATCATAGGGGTTGTTATAGTCCGGTGAAACCCTGTCAGGATCTTACAACACTTTACTCAGAAACTGCTCTGACTCGACCTGTGGCTTTACTAATGTTAGAAGTATTTCTCAAAAGCTTTAGCATTTAGCCTAGCTTTAGCATGTAGCCTAGCCTTAACATGTAGCCTAGCTTTAGCATGTAGCCTAGCATTAGCCATCTCCTTTGCCACTAACGGAGCCCGTGGGGAGTAGAGCCACAGCATCTTTGCTTCAATGACATTTACTAAACATTCCTCTTGCTCCGGCTTCAGTTTCTTGATATTTGGATTGAACCAGAACAGATTGTTTTACTATCGCATTCTCCGACAAACTACAACCAGCAAATTCAGCACAAGTTTACACATGGTAAGACCAGGCTATAATAGACCAGGATATTATTATGAAACTATTCCGAAATAATCGCAACGAACAGATATTGGAATTTATAACTCCAGTCCCTGCCTAGACCAGAGAGAGAGACCAGAGAGAGACCAGAGAGAGAGACCAGAGGGAGAGACCAGAGGGAGAGACCAGAGAGAGAAACCAGAGAGAGAGACCAGAGAGAGACCAGAGAGAGAGACCAGAGGGAGAGACCAGAGAGAGACCAGAGAGAGAGACCAGAGGGAGAGACCAGAGGGAGAGACCAGAGAGAGAGACCAGAGAGAGAGAGACCAGAGAGAGAGAGACCAGAGGGAGAGACCAGAGGGAGAGACCAGAGGGAGAGACCAGAGAGAGAGACCAGAGAGAGAGACCAGAGGGAGAGACCAGAGAGAGAGACCAGAGAGAGACCAGAGAGAGACCAGAGAGAGAGACCAGAGAGAGAGACCAGAGGGAGAGACCAGAGGGAGAGACCAGAGAGAGAGACCAGAGGGAG